GGGCGCGTCTGCCACTCAGAGTCCACCTGCCGGCCCTCCAGGGCCCCGCTCCAGCTGTGCCCCGCTCCGGGCGCCTGCTCCGCAGCTGGAGCGCCACCCGGGCTCTGCAACCTGGCACAGGGACAGGGACCGAGCCTTCATCTCCCTGAGCTTCGGAGGGCTGTGACCGGAGATCGCACGACAGGTGGTGACCCGAGCCCAGACCTCCGGCCGCACGACAAGGTTTCTGAGCATATGCTGTGGCTCTACGACAGGTACAGCGGCAGCAGCAGAGTCCAGGACTCCCAGACACCCGGCTCGCAGCCCCTGGGTCCCCAGCCCCTGCGCGGTGGCAACCCAGTTCGAAGCTTCCGAGCCACAGCCGCAGGTGAGTGTGGGGGGAGGAGGGAGCCCTTCCCGCCCCGGAGTGCAGAGGGCAGCCCCTCCCGCCCGTGCCACCCTGCTGTCTCCTGGCCCCCAGCGGCGCTGTCCTGGGACCTTTCTGGGACGCTGCCTTCCAGTCCCCACTGCGCTTTCCGAATTCTCCAGCTGCGTTCTGGATGAGCCCAGTTGGAGCCGGACTGAGACTGGGAAAGTGCTAGAAGGGCTGGGATGGTGGTTGGTGGGTCTTAGATAGAAGTGCAGCGTGGGAAGAAGCCAGGGGACAACACCGAAGCAGACTAGAACTCTCCTGGGCACCCCTACGGATATCTCATGCTAGCGATTAAAAAACTGCTCAACGGAAATTCCCTCTGACAGGCTTTGGCTGCGTTTCTACTGAAACGGATGCCATTTTATGCCAACCTAGGGCCCTGGAGAGAAAAGCGCACTCAACAGGCACTTCCCCCAGACACAGCACTCTTAACTCCGCGACCTTTGTGTTGCCATATCTGACACTTTCTTCTTGATACTCCCCTAGTGGCAAACACACAAACAAAACCAGGTGTGTGAGTGTTTAGATTATTTCTAACCCATCTGGGCAAATAAGTCATGCCTGGTCCCCAAGCTGGGAAGACCTGGAGGCCGGCCGCCCAGTGGAGAATAAACCTTTTAGTACCAGGGATGAAAATTTCATCTTCCCCCACTTTTTTTTTTTCAACACAGATAATTAATACTGAAATTCATGGCTTAACGCCACCCCCACCCCAAGCCCGCCAGCACTAGTGCTGAAATGAACGATTTACTCCAACAGCTTGAGGGCAAATTTCCTGGACACTCACTGTTTATCTGCTCTGAGGACACACTAGGGGTTGTGTACACTGCCTTCACGATTAAGGAATAGGTGATTGCAAAGTCTGCCTTTCAGGCTGGTGTTGAACAGGCAAGAATGTTCAAGGAAAGAGGCTGTGTCTCAACTGCACTGTCAATTCTGTCCAAATTACTGGATGGATTTCCCCTCAACTTCACTAGTTAGGACTCCTAGCAGAAAGGGGGAGGGTATCCATCAAGGAAAGCCCTTGCTTGTCACTGTGAATTTCACTCTGCGACTCAGAGACATGATGACATCTACAGTAAATGTGAGTTATGCTTTTAATGCAGAGAAGTAAGTCTTCAGCTAGTCGCTGAGCTAAGTCAGATTTCACTTTCTTCACAGACCCATGGGCAGAACCTGTAAAGAGCTGTCCCCTACTGAGCACGCAGAAACCTATGCCTGGTGCATAGCATACTAGTCACTTAAAGAGGCTACCCTGACAGCTGACCACAGCAGTGACCCCCTCTGTTTATATTAATGCATCATGGAGGCCAGAGCTCAGCAAAAGCCCAGTGTGGGGCTATAAAGGTCTGGAAAGAGGCTGGTGGGTGGACAAAGCAGGTGACAATAAGGAAGGCACCCAGATCTCTCCGGCTGTGATATTTTTATTTTGAGTCTACCCCCAGAGAATAGTTGAGACATCAACAAGTTTTACTTTTAGTGTGTGTCACAATGTTTGAAAGTAAAACTTGATTTTGTCTCATTCACACACATTGTATAGCTACTGATTTTAGACTGAGTAAATCATGGGTAAGAACTTACTCACATCTCTGGCTTTCACTCATTCCACCCATTATAATTCCAGTGTCCATTATCAGCCTCACCATAGTCTTATACCATCAAATGATAAACTCTGTTAAAGAGGCCAGACACTCCCTTGAAGTGATGGATTGAAGCTTGGAACTTGTATACAAGGCTGTGTGCCCTGATAAGAAAGTAATCCCTTTACCATCCTACAAACTGTTGTAATGACCTAATCGTCAAATGTAGACACTGTGTGTGAGTGTGTGTGTGTGTATGTGTGTGTGTGTGTGTGTGTGTGTGTGTGTGTGTGTGTGTGTGTGTGTGTGTGTAAGTTTAAGTGTCATGTTACCTCTCCTTGGAGACTCCTGGAGAGGTGGTTCATACTGGACTCCTTCCAGGATGTTTGGTTACTCCCACAGTGAAAAGATTTTGTTATAAGTCTTCTCTGGCTATATTGAGGTGGGACTTCCGAAAGGAAGATGCTTAAGTTTTCATATGTTGCTCTCCCTTCATCAATATCAGGATCCCAACACACCATTCACTTGGTGACCTGTGCTGATGTAGGCCAAAGACACTGTCTGTGTTAATAAATTATATTTGTTTTTGCAGCGCAACATGCTTAAGTTCCACAACATATGTGCCTCCCTCTCCCTAAGATGTTACAGACCTTATGGAAGGTCGGGTGTCTGTGCTCTGGATCTACCAGGCTCTGAAAGTGCTTGTTCAGGCTGAGTTATAGCCTTAAAGATACATTTGCTCCTTGGAACATACCTGATTAAAATTATTTATTGTTCTAAACCTGGAACAACTGAAATGTAGCCGCTGTGTTCTCTCTTTGGTTACTTCCTACTTAAACTATTACTTGATGGTGGGTGACATGAATCCTAAACAAACTTTGCTAACCTCCTTTCTCGTCTCTCAACTCCAGGCAGTTGGTGTGCCAAAACCATGAGCTTGGTGTCTTGTAAGCTTTTCTTTTGCCATGTAAAAGATAGCTTTTTATCGTTTCCTATGTACAATGCGATTCACAAAATTTTGACTCACACAGAAGTCCAATCCGTTAAGAAACACATCATCTGGAGGGAAGACAGAGGCTGTGAGATTAGCTTTTATTTTAATCTTGGTTTAAGTTTGTTCTCGGCTACTATGGAATAACACAATTCTTTGCCTAATTTTCTCCTGTCCTGATCCATCACAGGACATAATTTTTGTCCTTTATTTCCATAGTCACTTGCTCTTACTTGTCTCAGTAGTAACTTCTCTAGGAAAAGCAATGGAAGCTTAGTTTTCTTATAAACAAACAAACAAACAAACAAACCCATCACTACTTATGGCAATCAACTATAAAAAAGATCACATTCCAGTGGATGTGTGCCGCCCTAAGAAAATTATACTTGCCTTTGTGAATAAAAGAAGGAGATGTTGAAGTATCTCAGACTCACAAGTTTATGCAGAGTAGGACAGGGAGATTCTTACCTAATATGAACCAAAACCTTTCAATATAAAGGACTGCAATTGTGGCATTTTTCTGAAGTAAAATGTTAGCCTATAAGGCTGTAGGACGTGGATATATGATCCGGGTTTAAATAATCATTACTTGACTAGAAGCCAGTGCCCTGAAGGATAGATGGATCAGTGGGAAAGGGCCATTGTTTTTGCTGTGTTCCACAGCAAGAGAATATAATGATGTTATTAAGATATAGTAATCAAGATTCCAGGCACCCAGAAACAAGGCTTGAAACTATAGAGTCCTTGGATCATATGATGTTTTTATTTCAGGGACAATAGCACATCTGGAGAAGAAGGCGCTGGGATGCACAGCTGCTTTGAATTATACGAGACTTTGAATACATGATAGCCTCTAATGAAGTTTTACTGTAATAGGCAAGACAGCTTTACAATTCCTGACATTTAAAAATCCATAATACCATGAATTCTTGATTATTCATGCTATGTGGAAAGAAAAAAGAGAATGAATTACATTTTAAAAAATTTTAAATGTAGCTTTTTGGTGTAGTTCCACACACTCAAAGACCCTAAGAGACCAGGAAGGTCAATGGGAGAAACTCCTAAGCAGATAGTTCACCCAAGAAGACGATTTACTCAATTTTAGGCACTAAAAATGCATGCGTAATAAGGAATTGAGAAGACTACTTACATTACCTAAGCCATGGAAACTCATAAGTGCTTGTTTGTTTGGTTCAATATTTTAATTAGGTAGAAATATGGAGGCCAAATATACTTTTTAGATCTTTTTCATTATAAACTTTTGTATTAGGAAGACAAATTGAAGAAAACAGGTCCTTTAATGGAAACAGAAATTGGCTTTGTAATATATTTGGTGGACAAATTTTCAGCATAATTTCAAGCCTCATTCTTCTAGTAGCCTGATCTTATTTTATGAAGGAAAATTTCATAGAAAGAGGTCACTGGAAGGTATTGCATAAAATGAGGTGCTGAGGTCAAACAAGATTTAAAGAATGACCAGTGTGGAACGGCCCTTTAGTAGTGGTGTCCCCTCCTAAGAGCAAATTTTTCTCTTTTGTCCACAAGAGAACCTTCTGAGAATTGTGGCCCTGGGACATCTAGTTGGAAAAACACTGGTTCCAAAGCATTCATAAAAGATCTGGAAAATTCAGTGACTGTCTCACTGGAAACGAGCTGGGTTTTCACTTCTCAGTAGTATACTCTTGGGATATATGATTATACTGTCATTTTTGGGACTTAGGTCCATTTGGCACTGTCGTGTCTTCTTGTTCCCAGGATGTAAACTTCTCTGTATATCACCATCAAGTCTCTCTGTCTTTTCATTTTATTTTCTCCACTTCTGTAGGAGTTGTACTTCATTGTTTTGTTCTCTGTGGTTGATATTTATTGTTTTACAGTAGGCATAATAGCAGGAAAAGAAAAGTTATGTTATTTGTGGGAAAATTCAGTAGTGGAAGTACACATCACTGGGTGAGCATTCATACCTTGATGAGAGAAACATTTACTCAATGTTTCCATCAGGCCTGTGTTTATCTCCAGTGTTTGCTGTGTTTAACAGATATACTGAAGCCATACCTACCAGAAATCCCTGGGAAGTTGTTTAGCAGTCTGACATTCATTGTCTATGATTTAATCAGGTTTCTGAGCTGTATTGTGGGGAAGAACTTTTATACCCAAATTTTAATGATTTTTCCCATTTGTTCATTTTGCAAATCCCGATAAGTCTCTTCATCATTTTATTATGGTAGTAGTAGAAGAAAGTTTGAATTCTTACTGTTAAGAAGGATTTGAGAGAGGCAGAGAGACAGAAAGAGAGAGAGGGAAGGAGGGGAGGGAGAGGAGACACAATGCCATGTGTATCTAGGTGGCCTTAGAAGCCAGATGAGAGTGTCAAATCCCTTAGA